TCACGAGCTACGGAGAAGTGCTGGTCCTGGAGGCGGAGGTGGCCTCGGGGGACGTGGTCGTGAAGACCGTCGAGACCACGCAGGTCATGGATAACACTCGGCTCGACACGGAGGGGGCCCGGAACGGCACCGAGATGCGGGAGGAAACGAAGCTAGGGCTCCCAACTTCGCGCTTCGCGCTGCGCGAAGCGCGAATAACTTCGCGCTCTCGCGCCGCCCTCCCAAAGGGAGAATAGGAGGACGAGGAGGAGGGGGAGAAGGAACGAGGACCGCGAAGCGCGAAGCGCGAATAACTTCGCGCCCTCGAGGGAGCCCTTGACGAAGGCTCCCGAGGCCACGGACGGCTCCTCCGCGGAGGTCGACGGCCCGGCCCGAGCGGACTCGCCGGAGCTCGTGGATGCCTCGGCGGAGGTCGAGGAGGTCGGGACGTCGCCGGAGGCCGTCCTGGAGTGCGCGACGGTGGCGCACGCGGAGTCGGAGTTGCACAGCTGCTCCGAGGGCGACGTGAAGGCCCTGCCGGGGCAGGCGGTGTTCTGCCGCGGCGTGGCCATCGGCGTCGTCGTCGGCGCTGGCCTCGGCGAGGAGTTCCCGCGGGCCTCCGAGGACCAGCTGCGGACGGCCTGATCGAGCCGTCGGTGGCCGCACCGCTCCCCTCCCCCTCCTCCGCGTGGCGGGCGCGCGGGGCGGCGGCAGAGTGGCCGCGATCGGCAGCAGGACGGCGTCGGTGCCAGCGCAGCTCTACCAGACACCAGTCCCAAGGAGGGACCCGCAGCAGAAGCCTGGGGGAATTTAGGTCGCACGCGGGGCTTCTGTGCCGTGTGCGGTTGTGAGCTCTTCCTGGCTGCACTGCGGGCCCCGACTGGGCTTCTGGTCAAACGAAACGTTTTCTAAACGTTTTCCCCCCTCCTCCGCGTCCTCCATCTTCTCCTTCTCATATGACTCCCTTTCTCTTCGTCCTCTTGCTGTTCCTTCCACCCCCGCCGTCATTCCTCCGCATCCTCCTCCTCTCCCTCCTGCTGCTCCACCGCGTCCTCCGCCTCATCCTCCTGCTCCTCCTCCTGCTCCTCCTCCTCCTCGTCGACGTCGTCTTCAGGGTCGGCGGCACCGGGCGTGTCGAAAGAAGACGAGGAGGCCATCAAACGTGGGGGCGAGTTCATGGCCCGAGCCGTGATATCCACAACCTCAAACCCTCACCCCCATGTTCGATGCTTCGCCGTGTTCGGTCCATAACTCGGGCCTCCGTCGGCCGTTCCGGGCAATCTGCGCACCCCCGGAAAGCGCTCGACGAGGCGCAACTGCTGGAAAGCATCCCAAGGCGAGGAAACTCCAACAGCCGAAGATATGCCGAAAATATTCCCTCTCCCTAGCCATCACCCCCTCCCCTGAGATACGACGTTGCCGAAAAATATGGCATCCCGACGAATCACAACATGGGCCCTAAACCAACCAGCAACGTGAAAGACATGCAACGCCGGATATCGGATAACTGCGAAAATAGTGGCCTCCCAAAGCGGGTACGAGTAGATGGGGTCGAAGGATCTCGCCGCATCGCCGATGCATTGCCAATGGATGCATCACCGATGCACATGCGACGTCGGCGATGCACCGGCGACGTCGACGTAGAGAAAATCGGGCTCCACATCGAGCCACATCGCTGCTGCATCGGCGATGCTGCGCGCTCCTCCGACCCCATCTGCCCCGACCCCACCTGCGAGGCCTGGGGCGAGGAGGCGTCGGGCGCTGGGCCGCGGGGCCTGGTCCACGAGGGCGTCGTGCTCCTGCAACAGTTCCTCGTGCTGTTGCAGTTCCCGGCTCTTGGCCAGGTACTCCGCCTGCGCTGCCATGCCCCGCGCGCGGGGGAAGGTCACGGCAGCCTCAAACATCGGCGGCGTGCCGAAAAGGGGAGAGAGGCAAATCCAAACATGCTCGCGCCGTGGACGACAACCCACGGCGGGATGTGTTTTTGGCAGTTTTCGGCCTCCCGGGGCCCTCGCCAGGCTACGGGCCTCTTCCCCTTCCGCCATCTACGCCTCGGCCTCCGCCACCAGAAATGTTCAGAAGCATTGGCATTATCGCTATGACCGCCTCATCCCCCGATCGGTGGATAACAAGAACCCGGCCCGGCTTAGACTAGGGCGGGCCTGTCGGACCCAACGGACTCACCAGCATAATCCACATCATCATCACTGTCATCATCGCCAACAACATCAGCAACATAAACACCATCCTCAGCATCATCATATTCACCATCATCGCCCTCGTCATCATCATCGTCATCACCTCGTCATAAATCATCATATGAATCGTCCTCGTCACCTCGTCGTCGTCATCGTCATCGTCATCGTCGTCATGATTATCATCGTCCTCGTCGTCGCCGTCGTCATCCAGGATCTTCAGAGGAGCGCCGACCTTCGGCGGAGGACAGGGGAGGCCATAATTATGGCAAGGACATGATTTAACCAATCGCCATCGAGAGTCCAGCTGTCAGTCAAGAGCGTCTGGGACTGTCGCAGTCTAGCCGCCAGCGGGGCCTCACCGGTCAGACCACCAGCAGCGGCGGCCTGCCTCACGCGGTCAATGTGGGACACTTCGGCCAGCATCTCCGTCAGGTCAGGGAACGCTAGGGCATCGGCCACATGCTGGGCCACGGCGAAGTTCACGATGCGGAAGAACTCCAGGGCCAGGCGCGGGATTGATCTTACGTGCCCTCAAGTCCCGACACACGTCGGAGCGGATCATGGCGGCGATCTGCAGCCTCTGTTCGGCTGTTTCAGGCAGTTGCAGGTGGCGATCACCGTCGTCGCCCTTTGCTGTTACAGCCGCTCCGTCGAAGGTGCGCTCGCACTCCTCGTGGCTGCGCGCGCCGTGTCCAGAGCGGACAGGTTCCCAACGTAGCGACGTAGAAGGACCCAGGCTCTCGGTTGAAGATGGTTTGTTCTTTTCCTTGAACCTTCACTTCCACGGGGCGCGCCCCGAAAACGCGCCGCGGACGCGCGCGGCAAGGGGCAGCCGCCGGCTGCGTGCCAACTTCGCCCCGCGCGCCAGGTTGCCCGAGCTGGATCGACGCGCGCGCGAACGCATTGTCGGCGAAGTCCCCTTGCAGGATGGGCCGCCCGCTCTTCTTGAAGATGCCTTCTGGCACATGTCGATGCGGACCGCCTCGAGCATTTTGCCCCCCGGCCGCAGCAGCCAAAGGCGCCGCTTGTCCCGCATCGCTCGCGCGAAAGCGGCGAAGCGCTCCGGCGGGATCAGCTGCAAGTTCGCGCCCCTGTTCAGGGCGCGGCGCGCGGGTGTGTTTTCGTCGCCCACGATGCCTGCGATCTCGGTCTTGAGTCCCAGTGCCGCCTCGCCCCATTGCGAGGCACCCCGTCGTCGGGGGACCTGTCCCTAAATCGATTCTCACGCGCCATGTGCCCGGGGGGGCCCCGGGCGCGGGGGGGGGGGCGCTAAAATCGACTTTCGCGCGCCAAGGGCCCTCGGGGGCCCGATGGGGGTGTTTCTCCAAGGGGGGGCCGACGATTTTCTTTGCGATCAACCCTCCCTGGTTGGCTTGAACTCGATTGGACTTCGAGGCGCCCTGGCGTGCACTCGACTCGAATTCGAGGCGCCCTGGTTCGAGCTCGATCTACATTCGCACCGCGCTCGAACCGCCAGTTTCGAACTCGGTTCGGGTTCGAGCCTCCCTGATTAGAGTTCGATGCGAAATCGATTGGAATCCTCGCCGCCGCGGCCAGACCTCGAAATGAATTCTAGCCGCCCTGGTTCGAACGCGATGTGATTCGGCACCGCGCTGGCTCGAACTTGATCTGACTTCGAACGGCCCCGGCTCGAACCCGACGCGAGTTCACAGCGCCGGGCCCGAGAGCGACCCGAGTTCGAGCGCGGCGGGGCAACTCGAACCGACTTCGAGCTGGGGCGGTTCGAACTCCAGACCAGGGCGGTTAGGGGCCAAAACCGCATTCGAATCATGGCAGTCAGTACTCTGATCGAGTTCAAACAGGGGCGCATAGAGCCAAAGTGGAGTTCGAACCGCGGTGGCTAGAACCCACGCCGAGTTCGAACCGCGGCGGCAAGAGCTCGCATCGAGTCCGAACCTGGGCGGTTCGAACTCAGATCGAGTTCTAACCGGGGCGGTTAGAAGTCAACGCGAATTCGAACTAGGGCGGTTCGAACACAGCGCGAGTTCGAACCTGTTTATACACATGATCACACCTACACCTGCGTCGATAATCCCACTCCCCCCTCCTCCTGCTGACCCTCCTCCTTCACCTCCTGCCCTCCCCCATCCTCCGCCCCCCCCCGCCCCCCGTGGCCCGCCCCCCGCCCCCCCCCCGGGGCGCCCGGGCGGCGGCGCCGCCCGCCGCTGGGGGCCGGCGGGGGGGGCAGGACAGCTTGGGGTGAGCAGAAGGAGTGCCCACCCCGCGGATGAGCAGATGGCGGGGGAGGAGCGGGGGGCGGAGACCGACAGGCGGGGGCGATCAGCAGGCCGAGGAGGAGCAGGGCGAGGGCGACCAGGAGCAGGAAGGAGAAGGCGAGGGATGGGCGGGGCGAGGACTGGAGGGGATGAGCATCACGAGCAGCAAAAACACCAGGATGAGAAGGGGGGCGGGGCCAGGATGGAGCTGGAGAGGCGGGGGCGCGCATTAGGGGGTTGGGCGCGCATTGTCCCCGAGCGTCGCAGAGGGCCCCGCCCCCCGCGCCCCCCGCGAGCCAAATCGGAGGGCGGCCTCGGCCCAGTTGAAGCCCCGCTGCTAAAGTTCGCGAGGGCCGCAGAGGAGAGCGGTGATTCCAAGGCGGCGCGGCTGGCGGCGGCTTTTTTTTCCGCCTGGGCAGCCCGCCAGCTCGCGCAGCTGAAACTCTTAAATCTCGCTGGCGGGTCTGACTGTTTCAGCCGAAATCCAACTGGCCAAGAGACAGACGCTGGGTCGCCCACCAAAAGTGGCACTGACTCAGTCAGAGCTCGGAGCTGTAGCAGCCCGCCCTAGCTGCAGCAGCCATTCCTAGGCTGTTCCAGCCTGGTCAAGCTGTCCGCTGCCCCAGTCGATACCAATGGGGGCAACCAGGTCTGCTCGCAGACCTTGGTGCATCAGGGCCCCAGCGGTCGCGGGGGGCCATCGGCTGCGCCTGTGAGAAGAGCCCATTTGGGCGCGGGCGCGATTGGTGCACCCCTCCGAGAACGCCCGGACGTCGACGAGGACCCCGAAGATGTGCTCCCTGAGGCACGAGCCGTTGCAGTGCTGCTGGATGTTGCAGATCCAGTACCTCGGCTGATCGCCGCACCTGCCGCCCTGGATGCCGAGGACAACGTTCGCGCCGTGCTGGTTCGAGCGCTGCGCGAGACAGAACGCGTTGCCCACGACGCCAATCTCGGAGGCCCCCTCCTGGATCGAGCGGGCCCCGTCCGCCGCCGTCACAGCCTGCGCGGGGTGAAAGGCGCAGGCGTCGTTCGACTGCAACGGCGCAGCGCTTTGCCGCGGCTGCCCAGGGGGCAAGCGCAGCTGAGGAGGCAATCGCCCGGTCGCCGAATCGCGAAGGGCGATGCTTCGGGCGGGACGCGGCGTTGCTGGGGTCCCGCTTGTAGACGTCGTCCATCGCGGAGGTGCACGTTCCCGCCGAAGCGTCGGAGATGACCAAGAACTTCGCTGCGGATGCACGGACATTTGGCTGCGAAGCGGCCAGCAATTGTGAGAGGCGCCATGGCCGTTGCACTCCGAGACGAAGGAATCGGCATCTTAGGCAAAGCCCCTTGGGGCCATAGTGCGTCGAAAGCGGCAGATGGGCGCGCCGGAGCTGCTGTGCGCAAGTGGCGAGATCGAAAGCCGTGAAGAAACTTGGGGAGATCATGTCGATGGCCACCCGAGCGGTTGTCACCAAGATCAGAAGACTCCGCCAGTGGCAGCGGAACTGCACTCCCGCCAGCAGAGGCAAGGCGCGGAACGCCGAGAACTGGTGCAAGGAATCCGCCATCATATCAAACGTGAACGCCTGGACTTCTTCCGCCTGGAACGATGGGGGTCGTGTCGATCATGCGGGGAATTCTCCGATGGCCACCCTGCTGGAGGAAGAGGAGGGCCAATCCCTGTCGCCCAATTCGCGGGAATCCCGGTACCGCAGGGAGGACCATCTCGAAGGGGAACAAGATAAAAGGCAACGTCCTTGACAATAGGCAGCCACGTTTCGAACAACCGACGGATGGCGCAGAGGTCGGTGATATTCGTGGCGGTGGTGAGGCCACTCGTGATGGGGATCGTTGAGACCATGACGAGAGAGTCTGGGCAGTGCGCGTGAGTGGAGCGGCGAACAAAAGACCGAAGGAGGCGGGTGAGGGCGTCGTGGTGGTTGAGAGTCCACATGACGGCGGTCTGGCCGATCAGCTGCTCAAGCAAATTATCTGCGCCTTTCTCCGCAAGAGCGGCAGTTGCCCATGCGACCGCCTTGTCCTGAACCACGGGGCCCCTTGCCCGAAGCACATCGGAAAGCTGCGTGTAAATGCTCACGTTGGGGGTGTTCACGCACCCCTCGATGGACCGCGACGCCTCTACCCCGAGCTCCCTGTACACCAGCAGTTTGCTCGCTTTGGTGCGGCAGCGGATAGAACGGTTTTCAAATCTAACTCGCAGCGCTGGACTGCCGCTGTCACTTGACCGCGCAAGGCACTGGCCTTCCCGATGTCCGCTTGGGACCAAACCAGGGAAGCAGCAAGGTATAGCGAGGTTTGTGCTGACCTGCCCCGAGCGATCATATCGACGGTCGTCGGGTCAGGACCGTCCACTTTAGCGAGCCCAAATAAAGCCCAGTGGTCGTCCTGGTCGATGTTGTACCCGAGCTTAGCCACGAAACAAGTAAAACCGCATACGGCGCCGGCATCGTCACAGGGAGTCCCTGGTTGTTCGAGTCCACGAAGGAGACGGGCTGCGTCAAATCGTAGTTCTGAAACATCCCGTTTTCGATCCACTCCTTCAGGAGCGCCTCCCGCGCCACCTGCGGCGCAAGCCCCGGCGGCGGAACTGTCCCAGCACCAGCGGCGGCGGAGCTCGCAACGCTGACAGCAACCGCGAGGCTTCAGTCGCGGAGCCCGCCTCCAAGATCGGAGCGACCTCCATCCCGACCCCAGCAGGTACCGCTGCTGGAGCCGGGAGCCCTGGTGGCAGCAAGTTGGCGGCAGCGGCAGCAGCGGTCCTCCTGGCCGCCTCCTCGTCGACCTCGATAGCGGCTAGCTCGGCCCGCGTCTGGTCCATCCCAGAGTTGGTGGCATCGCCCATGTGCGAGGCAGCAAAGCCCTGAGTGGCGCCGGTGCCCACGTCCTCGGTGTCCATAGGCGCTGCAGCAGCGGCAGCCATCGGGAGCTGAGATGGATGGGCAAGCCCCGCCGCCCCATGCGCGGCGCAGAAGGCCGAGCCCAGGATCGCTTCACCCGCCGCACACCTGACAGGAAGGCATGGTGCCAGACAATGGGTCGATGGGGGAAATAGAATATGCGCAAACGAATTCACACCCTGGACAGGGCGCCTGGTCGGGGACTTACCTTGAGCCTTGAGGCCTTGAGCCATATCGCGGAGACTGACCCAAGAGTGAAGGTTCGCCCTCACTCGGGATCGGGCTCCGACCCCATCGGCAGTGCAACCAGACCTGTTGAGGCCAGGAGCCTGTGGGCGGGTTGCGCTGCTGATGGAGAGGTGTAGTCGAGCGCTCGCCTCTTTCGGCGTGCTTGTACGCTTCCGCTCAATATAGTTGCTGGCGCGCTCTTCGCGACAGCATGTCCTGCCCGTCGCTCTGGCGTGGAAGGCGACCCGAAAGCGTAAGCCCGCCCACGCTCTGGTTCGATCTCCGCAGGCCTGAGGAGCAACAGCGTCGGGTTGGCCTGGAGCCAGGGACCTAGTTGCTTCTCAGGCGCGGTGTGCAGCAAAGCTGCGTACCAGCCCGCTGGATCGGCAGCCGTGGCTCTGTGCTAGCTGCCGAGCGTGCTGAGTCGTTTTGACTGCTGGGATCACTCGACCGCTTGCCTCGGCTGAGGCGGATGACTGCTCCCGGCACTCAGGCGAATCTGCGTGTGTGCGCCGAGGCACACGAGACTGAGCGATGCCTCCGCAGGGCCAAAGGGAAACGCCTCGGTCCGAGGGGCAGTACGAGCTAGGAGCTCCTGACCCCTTCAGCCGCGGGGATCATCATCATCATCAGCATCATCATCAGCATCATTATCAGCATCATCATCATCATCATCATCATCATCATCATCATCATCATCATCATCATCATCATCATCATCATCAGCATCATCATCATCATTATCATCATCATCAGCAGCAGCATCAGCATCATCATCGGCATCATCATCATCATCATCATCATCATCATCATCATCATCATCATCATCATCATCATCATCATCCTCATGGGCTCCTCCTAGTCCTGCACCTACGCCTCCTCCAACTCCTCCTCTTCCTTCGCATCCTCCTCCCCTCCTCCTCCTTCTCCTACTAATCGGTTCCTCATCCTCCTCCTTATCATCATGATCATCATCATCATCATCATCATCATCACCATCACCATCACCATCATCATCACCATCACCATCACCATCACCATCACCATCATCATCAGCATCATCATCATCATCAGCAGCATCAGTATCAGCATCAGCATCATCATCATCACCATCATCATCAGCATCATCATCAGCATCAGCATCAGCATCATCATCAGCACCATCACTATCACCATCACCATCACCATCACCATCACCATCACCATCACCATCACATCACCATCACCATCACCATCACCATCACCATCACCATCATCATCACCATCACCATCACCATCACCATCACCATCACCATCATCATCATCATCATCATCATCATCATCATCATCATCATCATCATCATCATCATCATCATCATCATCATCATCATCATCATCATCATCATCATCATCATCATCATCATCATCATCATCATCATCATCATCATCATCATCATCATCATCATCATCGGTGCCTCATCTGGTTCTTGCCTCTTCGTTCTCCTCCTCTTCATCCTTTTCCTCCTCCTCGTTCGCATCCTCCTCCCCCTCCTCGTCCTCCTCATCGGTTCCTCCTCCTCCTCCTCGACACCACAGAGCTGCGCCACCCCTCGAGCCGAAGGCCTCGACCTCGCGCATGCTGCTCAACGCCCTCTCCATGTGCTGGTCCTGCCCGTGCCCCGCGGCACCGCTGGTGTTCCCCCATCGCCGGCCGCCCTCTGGGTCCGGGGGGGGGGGCCTGTAAGACAAACGCGACGAGAGGCAACAGCATCCAGATCCGCGCCCTGCGCCGCCGCGTGGTGGGAAACATGGGGCCATAAACCCTCTGCATCGATGGTCCTGCACACGTGCGTCAGCGCCAACGTGTAAGTCCCGTGCAAGTCCCCAGTGGCCTCGTCTGGAAGCCTCCGTGAGGCCCGACGGGGGCCGAAGGCGCCCGGCACAAAAATACAACCAACAAGAATCTACGTTGGACGGCTGGGGCGGCACAACTCGGCAGGGCAGGGAGGCCTGACAACGACCACGAGCGGCGAACGTACAAATCGGTCGGAAAGGAGTGGGTAGAAACATGAAGTAGGAAAGCGTTGGAAAGGGATTGGGTTTCCGCCGGCCCTCTAAAGATGAGGGAAAGGCAAAAACGCTCGTTGATTGAAGTAGGAAGGCGCCATGTATTGGGGAGTGGGAACCAAACCACCAACGTCAACGTCCGATGGGTATCCATATCCGCGCCTTCGTGGTCTGGATTCCGGGCCGCGATCCCGCTGGTACGCGGTCGCACGGGTACGCCCCGCGAGGGGCAACCGCTAAAAGGTGTTCCGCACCCGCGGGGTCGCGGCCCAGGGGCCGGGCCCGCGAGGCCGCGAATACTGAGATCATTTTCAACAGCGAAAAGACGATGGTTGGTTGCCCGCCGAAGAAAATAGTTCACGGGGGGCGCCTCTTTTAGAAGGCGGCGGAACTTCCACGGAAACGAACCAGTTATCATTCGACCCCAGCCCAAAAGCCCTTCCCTTACCCCCCTGTTCGTGTCACGATACGCGACGGCGCCGTTTGTAGAGGCCTCATATATGGGGTCCGAATAAAGGGGGTCGGAGGGTCGCGCCGCATCGCCGAGATATCGTCGATGCATCGGCGATGCACCAGCGTTGCAGCGTTGACGTGGGCGATGGATCGGCGGCTCCACAACGAGCCGCATCGGCGATGCATTGGCGATTCGGGGCAATCCTCTGACCCCATCAGCTCGGACCCAATCTAGGAAGCCTAGAGTTTGGGATTTGGCCACTCGTGATTGAGTATTCTCAGACAGCGCCGCCGAGGATCGTGACTTTAATAATCCCCTCCTTCTCTCCCGTCGGCCAGGGCAAGAGCATCCCAAACCAGAGCGGTAGCCCCAAAGATAGCCGATCGCCTCGCGGATCTCGACGTCAATCCCCGCGCATTTTTTATTAAAAAAAGCCACACCTGCGCGAAAGCGTCGGCCAGCCTCTGAAGCGAAGGCGACGTTTGGCGGCGCGCGCAAGGGCGGGGGTTTTCGAAGAAGGCGGCGAGGGTTCCAGAAGGAGGCACGGGCCCTTGTCGGGAGAACGTTTAACGGTGGGTAATGGCTCGTCGCCGCGCCGCACACGGCACTTCCTGGCCAACCATCGTGACCACAGAACGGCATGTGACAATAACTGTGACCGGTGTGGCGACCGATCGATATTCAAGTGAGCCAAACGGTTGCAGTCAATAGGAACAGAGCGTGCGCTGATCGATGCTTGCCGCATACTCACTCTAACCTAATGTGATAATACATGCACATGTCTACACACCAGATGGGAGAACTGCTCATCTCTGCGCTTCAGTGGCGCGCCGGCAGGCCTCGCCACCCTCGCAACCAGCGGCGAATTTCCCCCAGCGGGCCCAGGGGCCCGAACGCACTTGTACTACATGGCTAATATTGATTTCGCATGCACTATCCATTACAATCGCGGGGCCGCCGGCCGGACACATGCGCGAGTTGACAGCGCGGTGCAAGTCGTCATGCCGCTCAGGGTATCGGCCACGAGATCCCGCAACGCTCGAGGGCGGGGGGGTCCGGGGCTCAGCCGTCGCCCAGCGACGCCCGTGGGCGGGGGGGGGCGGGGGCCGCCTCATGACGCCCGGGGGCGGAGAGGCGGCCCAGGGCTCAGCCGCCGCCCCGCGACGCCCGCGCGCGGGGGGACGGGGGCCACTTCGCGTCGCCCGAGGGCGGAGAGACGGCCCATTGAAATTGCAATCAGGCCTGTTTCTCACGCGTTGTCTGTTGTCAAACCGAAAGGACCTGATGTTCCCGGGGCATCTACGCGCTCCTCCTGATCCAATGTCCATCGCACTGGGTCGCTCAGTAGAAACTTCCACGCGCGACGGCGACGGCCGCGGCTTCCAGCGAGGGCCCATGGCCTTGGCCGCGGCCTTCTGGATGCGCCGCGCGTCGCGCCGGTCGCCCGTGAGTCATATCATTGCCGCGTTCGTTCTTGCGTTTCGTCTCCTCCGGCCTGTCCGCGTTGCGCCCCTTCTTCTTGCTGCCGGCGAGCGCGCTCCCAAATAGTTCACCGTCGCCAGCCTCGGCTGTGCCCGATGCCATTTCTCCTTCGTCGCCGTCGCCGTCATCGCCGCGCAGTGTTTCTGAGCTGCTCGCGGCCTTCTCTGCCAACGCTTGGCGCCGCGCTGCCCAGCGAGCCTCGTCTCCGTGGGCGTCCGCGGCGGAGGCGTCGCACTGACCGAACTCCGATGCCGCGCTTGTTGATCGCATTTCGGCTAGCGTTCGGCGGCGCACAGACAGACGAGCTGACCGAGGTGCCGCGGGGGTCGGACTCCGACGCCGCGCTCGACGCGCACCCGCGCCCCCCCCCAAAAAAAAGTCGACATGCCAGGCTCGGAACCTCGCTGCCGCAAAGAGGTGGGCCTTGATCCGAAATGGCTGCGTGCTCATGTTACGTTGCTGGCCATAGCCCCCACCGTGCATCAACTGTTTCACATGGTGCTGTGCGCGCCTGGGATGCGAGGACAAACGCGCATCCATAGCATCGCGCAACTTGTCCAGTAGCTGCGCCGTTCCCATGTTTGTCAACGCGTACGCGCCCATCCCCGCCGTGGGGCAACAACGAAGAATGAGGTTGCCGCGGAGGCTCTCGTCGGCGAGCCGCGCTGCTCGAACTGCGAAATATTTGGTTCGCCGCGTCCCACCGCACTCAGCAACAGTTAGTGCCGGCTTACTCTCGGCGAGTACTATGGGAGGGTTAACATCTAAACCCCATTCCTGAAGTAAGCTTTAAATCCCTTCAGCAACTAGAAC